GCAGAGGACCTCGTGTGAACCGTCGTTCTATCTGCAAAGTATGGAGCTAAATCGAGTCGTGGGAGCAACAGTGTGCATTTCTCCTTGGGCCGCATGAATGTCACTCACATGTCAATGTTGTTTCCACAGATGCCACTCTCGAGTGGCCACTCTGCATCCTACGCGCAAGCTGGCTGTGAACTGCGCTGTTTGTGAATTTGTTTGCTGTAGCCTTGAGCTAGGTGCCATTAAAGCGCCTGAACGTAATTTGTGGGTTCACACCCTTTTCCGCTGAAAGATGCTTGATGCTTTGGTTCTCCAGACCAGATGCCTTCGCCCTCGCTTGGTGGAGTTTGCTTTCCTTCAATCCTAAGTCACATTTGTGTGTGAAGATTTTGGGGCAGGATGCAAAGCCACTGGTGCTAATATGCCCATGTTGAGGGCCACACTCACACCATGGGTTTGTCTCAAAACGTGTGAGACGCGTCCAGCAGAATGCTGGGAAGATGCCCAGTTTCAGCTGAAAGATTGCCACCAGGAAAAAGCGGACACTGGATGCATGCCTTCACTGTTTTTGTTGATGGCGGCTCATTTAGGGGAATCCAAACTCAGCTGAGCTTTGCTTTTGCCTGAGGTGAAGTGACGTGTCAGCAGAAAGAAACCAGACGTGCGGCACCTGAAAGAATGCCCAGAGAAAGGATGCTGTGCCCGCCGAAGTTCTTCGTGAAAGTCCAAGCTCTACACCTTTTGGATGAGTTTCGGAGCCTGGGGGCCTGGTGTATTTATTTACACCACTGGGGCTTGAGGCGCTTGGAAAAGATCAGTGTGACCAAGTGTGCATCATGGCTTATGCGCTCCTGCCAACCCTGCCAAAGTGAAAGCAGAATTTGGTTGCCCAAGACCGTGGAAGCCTCAAAGAAAATTGGAGCCAGGAGTTTTCCCAGATGATGCGTTGGAAGTGGGCTGTGTCACTCGAAAACAGGTGTTTGAGACACGTGAAGCACAGACTGTCCATGTGTGGCACAATTTGGTGTGGATGCAAAGAACCTTCGTCCAAGTGTTTTGGCACGAAAATCATGGCAGTGATGCTTAGGCGGCGGCCATTACATGACTGCAAAAGGTTTGCCCTCTGCAGCGCGGGCGGGCGGCTCGCGCGTTGTCAGTTCAATGTCTTTGTGCCCAATGCACTGACAACACGCTCGGTGAACTCGTTTGCAACAGAAGTACTTGAGCACCCCAGGCGCCCAACTGTTTGCTATGGCACTCTCCATGCACTTTGCGCTGTGCATGAGTGTTTTGAAATGATGTTTAATGCGTGAGTCCTCACATCAGAGTCAAGTCTTAACCGCCCAACCCAACAGGCCCAACAGCCAACAGCCGTCCTTCCAGACCCTCCGCCTTCCCTGCGTTTGAGCCAGGCAGTCCCGCGCCGCACGTGCCAACAGGCAGTCCCGCCGAGACGTGGACCTGGGCGTCGAACGAAAGAGCTTCGGAGAGGGGCCGATCTTCGTGCGACGGTGCCTGGAGGTGCCGTGTGGCCATCGAGCAGATTGTGGATGAGGTCTTAAAAGTCCTGACCGGTCTTGTTGGGCCAAAGTGTACAAAGACTAAGATGTCCATGAAGAGGCAATGTAATTTCAGTGAATGATGTTGAGGAGTGAGCCCTCAGGTTCAGTTCGGGAAGGTCGAGACGGACCAAATTGCTGCCAGCGGGTGGGCGCAAGGTCCTCCAAAACTTGGTTTCAATGGGGTGCGAGCTCGGCCTTGCAGATCTTGCATACCGATACCTATTCTCGCTCGGCTTCCACGTACATGTTCTCGCCGGAGCTTCAAGGTGAACGTCACCTTCCGGCAGCTGCCAGCTACGTCTTGATCCGTTTGCTGTTGGGGGGGGTCGTTTGGGACCTGGAGAGTGCGCAGTGCGTTTGCGCTCCAGCATGTTGGCTCTTAACGTCCTATCAGTGCTTGTACGAGCATGCTGCACATGCTCTGAAACATGAAAAGGGCCCATGTGGGCAGACGACGCAAGGGTTATCTATATCGCTCCACAACCTCTCCTGGATGGTTCAATATGCCATCGGGTCGGATGGGAGAAGTCTCTCTGCGGGGATGCGGTCGTCATCCACCTTTTTCGATGTCACCATGCAAGCAAGTCACCAAGCTGCTTGCCAGCCAACTCGCTGTATTGACCGAGGTTCCCAGACACTGAAAATAGGACTGGAATGTCTGGCTACGACCTCCCAAACCACGCCAACAGATCGGCCAATGGCCATTTTGTGTCGAACCTTTGCGCCGAGTTGGTCGCCCCAAGGCTGAGTTAGCTCGACACGCGTGAGTTGACAAGTGTTGTCGTGCATGCATGAATGCCTCAGCTTCTATAAGCAACTAAGAAGTGCTGTTTTGCAGATTACCAGAAGCCATAACATTGTGCTGTACATTGCTGAACAATGGATTCGGTTTGCTCTCTGTGTAGGCCCCTATAGGACCAGGATGTTAAAGCCTCCCGGCTGCATGATTTTAAGTTTGGTCTCTTCTTCCGATGGTCAGGGGTGAAAGATGATGTGACCCTGACAAAGATGGAGGTGTGGCTAACCTTCCGGAGGCCAGTTGATGAGTGTAGGCTGTTCCTTTCGATTTGTTCAGGGTCCTTAGCCTTGTGTCCTTTCTGAACTCTTGCACTCGCCACTCAAGATCCGGTCTTCGTTTTGACCTAATTCATCGCACGTCAACGTCGTGGAAGCCTAGGCGATTGTATTGTAGCTGTTTGAAGTTGTCCTGTCTTCAGTCCATTTGCCAAGATGTCGGCAGCCTTGGCATTGTTGTTGCCAAAATCTACAGAACTTTGAGGACTACATCAACACGATGCTGTGCTGATGGTTGGCACCCACCGTTTTTGCTCTCCAGCGCGGTCGTGGCTTTCAAGAGACATGAGTGACGTGTCGCACCACATGCGCAGGCAACAAGCTGCAACATCTATGGAGTCGCAGCAGCCATGCGCAGATCCTGTGGCAGCTCCGGCGCTATGCCAAGACAGGCCTGTTGGATTGACATCTCGGATGTGTCGAAGATATCAGGCTTTAAGAGGCGACTTGCCCCCTCTTTGTTTGAGCAACAGGCAGCTTCTAAATAGATTACGCTCCGCTTAGGCTTTGCCAACACAAGATCAGAGATTAATTGGCACGGCCAACACAGAAGGCTGATCAGCGTTCAACCTGTATCGGAGTCGCAGGGATTTGTTGGCCAGCAAAATAGAGATTCAGCCCGAATTACACAACAAATGTATCGGTGGGCAACTCCAGCAAGTTTGGAGGGCGCTAGTCTACCTGAAGCACAGCCTTCACTTCTCAACAAGCAAGATCGCCCATACCGCTGTTTGGATTTAGATGAGCGCAGGTTCATTACGGTGGCTGCTCGGTATCACAAGCAGTGGATGGATCACGTCAAAGAGAACTACTGTGGCACAGCCTCAATCATGTGTCTCTTTCTGCAAAAGAGCGATGAAGATCTGGAGTTTGACATAAAGGAAGCATTTCAGCTGTACTATGTCTCAGAAACATTTTCTTCTCAGGCTCCTTGTGAACATATTGAGTCCGATTTAAGTGTCTTTATATATATGTGTTGGTAATGCAGTTGTGTTTTTGATTGATGTTTGACTGATGTTTGATGTGTTGTTTTAACTATATATATGTTTGTCGCATGGTGTGGCTTGGCCTTGAAACATATGTTTGAGGCTCGCCTACTTTGCATGGAAGCTACAACCGATGGGCTTGCCAAATTTCAGCTTCCAGTGACATCAGTGCAATCAATGTTGTGCTTTGCACATGGTGTCAAATCAGGATTCAATGTGGCTGTGTACATGGCAAGCTTGGTTCCAATATCAGGCTCAAAAGACTCAAAGGATCCTCCTGAAAGAACGTTTGGGAACTTGTTTCAGTGCACAAATTCTGCAAAGGTATGCGTCATCAAGAAAACAGCACCACCCAGAGCATACAAAAAGCGAGTGCAAAGCAAAAAGGATGAATCTGAGGAACAAGGTGATGAGTTTACAGATGCTGAGGAAGAAGCACGCTTTCCTGGAGCTACGCTCCAACAGCCAATTTCACTCAGCAATTCTTTGTGCAAAGAGCCTTTGGTTGCAGCCTGCAAGCGAAGATTGGAAGGAAATGGATCCTTACGTGCAAGTGGAAAGTCGTGCCTGAGTGTGGTACCCTGCAGTTGCATCAGAGATTTTGTATTTCGAAGGTGCCGATCTGTGTTCCAAGGAGTTGTCCCCTTTGTTCAACGGATTTCTTAGACTTGCTATCAAGCGACAGTCTGACTACCTTCCCCGGCTGTAGGCTAAATCTGGATGGTTTTTTTGCATAAGGAGACCCCCCAAACCACTGGTTTTGGGTATAGATTTCCAGGTAAGGTGTATCCCATTACCATATAACAGTCGGTGAAAGATTATCACTCTTGTTTGGCCTTGACTAACCGTGATCATCCTCTGAAATTTGCCCCAGATGTCATGATTCAGCCGTCATTGTTTGGAACGGGTTGGTGGTCGGTTAAGAGTCAAAAGTGTCACCGACTCTTTGATGTTTTGATGGTATAAGATCAAGTGTTTGCCAAGCCAACTTGTCTTTTGGAGCTGCTCATTTTGTTGCCGTGTCGCGGCTCGCGCGATCACGCACTGAGGCGTTTACTGAGTGTGAGCCAAGAAAGCAGCCATGATAGTTGCATTCACAGGACTTACGAAGGAGAAGGACGGATGTTCACTAAGATGTTGGTACTCTTGCGCAATGTTGCTATGCTGAGTGCCTGTGTCACTAGACTCAGTTGGACAAACAATCTCATATTGTCTCAAGATGTTTGTTCCAAAACAACGTTCGTTTCATGTAAAGCCTGCTCTGGCATCAAACAAATGAAAACCAGATGGCGAGGGTTGAGGGCTATATAAGTCAACCTGCCACAGCGGAAGGACAAACTGCATTGCAGCTGGAATCCTTTGCAATGGCAAATGGTGAGGGTGTACGAGGCCTTCAGCACAACCGCGCAAATCTGCCACGATGCCCCTTTGATTTGGTTGAGATATGTGTAAGGGCTCCGAAACAGAAAGTGGCAAGACACGGTATTAGACACGGAGCAATTGCCAATCCTGTTTGGGAGTCAGCGCACTTTTGTTTGCATCGTTTCGATGTGATAGTCCTGCTAACTGAATTTGCGTAGTTGGCGCAGCCAGAATTGCCCCTCCATCCGCTCGCATCTTCATTCACTCCAAGGCTTGGACTTCACATCGTCAGCTGGTGGCAACGCTTCTTCACAGATTCGGGAACAGCCACTGAGCATTGCAGTGTGGAGGTTACAAGAATTACGATCAATGTTTGCAGCTACACACATTTTGTGGTAGCCACACACATTTTGAGGTAGCTACGCACATTTTGGGTAGCTACAGTATACCGGCAATACTGGTAGTTTCCAATTTCTTCAGCTCCTTGACAATTGACTTTCTGTTGCAAGCCCCACCAACAGGATATTTTGATCAGCCACGAGATATATTGTTTAATACTGTTTACAATGTATCATATGTCGTTATATTTACACATTATAACACTGTATGATACTGTATGTATGACATTTTTGTTTTTAGCTTTAGGGCAGGTGGACATAGAATCATTCTAACCAGCTCCAATGCTTCTTGTGAACGGGTGGTGCATTTATGTACCCCGACGCCGCCGTCAATGCTCAAGTGGATCCAAAACGGCTTTGGATAGTTTTTCTCGGCATGGGGTTCAAAAAGAAATTGTTATTAGGATCAACAGATTATTAGTAACAGCATCAAAAAGAAGTTTCTATGAAGATCAAACAAATAAGTAGGCAGGATGGGAAGGAAGGAAGGAAGGAAGGAAGGGAGGAAGCAAGGAAGGAAGCAAGGAAGCAAGCAAGCAAGCAAGGAAGGAGTAAGGAAGGAAGGAAAGAAAAGGCAGGAGGGAGGGAAGTTAGGAAGGAAGAAAGAAGGGACGGAAGAAGGGAAGGAAGAAAGGAAGGAAGGAAGGAAGAAGGGAAGGAAGAAGGGAAGGAAGAAGGGAGCGTCCACCCGTGCGGGAGAGGTATTAAAAAAAGGAATCAAGAAAAACACAAATAGGGATCAATAAAAAAACAATTGGGGGTTCAATTAGGGATCAATAAAAAATAAGCAGAGATGCAGACAACCACAAGCAGGGATAAAAGGAGGCAATAAAGAAGAGAGAAAGAAAGAAAGACAGAAATAAATAAAGAAAGACAGAAAGACAGAAACAATGCACTAAATACAAGCAAAAATCAATAACCAAAGAAAGAAAGACAGACAGACAGACAGACAGAAAGAAGAACATACCTATGAAATGATGAAAGTGGAAAAGAAATAAATAACAAGTAATTAAAAAAGAAAAAAGATGGCTTGACAGACAGACAGACAGATAGACATACAGACAGACAGATGCGATGGCTTGGTCAAATTTGCGTTCTATGTTGGTGGGAAAAGACATTGAAGTAGAGCAGTGCTTACATGAACTGCTTGCAGGACGCATTATAGGCAATATTCAGGTGAGAGCTAGGAGCCATTCGAAGGTAGCAGACCTTTTTGTGAGCCACCTGGAGGAGGGAAGCGGCCATTCCAAGGTAAGCCTTCCGAGGGCAAAACTTGGAGGAGGAAGGCTGAGCCGCCCGAGAACTAAATTTAGAGGAGGAAGGAGCCACGCCAAGGTAGCACGCCTGTGGCTCACAAAGGAGGCAGGCGCCAGAGCGGGCAAGGGAGTTATTTTCCGGGGCGGAGTGAGGTGTTTGCATTGGCATCGCCATAATTCAGTAGGCAGCCACCACCTTGCTAAACATTGGGCAAATGGCCACACTTGCCGCAGGATACTATTAAAGCGGACCGTCCCCCGTATGGCAGGGGTTGCGAAAGTGGCCACGCCAGATGATATGGCCCAGTCTTACTTGCTCCCTTTGCCGAGACCACCACCGTCACACGTTGGGGTGTCACAGTCACCAGCTGCTGAAGGCGTTTGGCAACATATGTAGATGATATGGTATGGCCATATGAAGTGGTCAAAGTCGCCGCAAGAGACTATTAATTGCTTGCTTGGTTTGCTGAGACCATAGTCGCATCATGTTGGGGTGTCACTGTCACCAGCTGGTGAGGGTGTCTGGCTACAGGTCTGGCTAGAGGTGATAAGATGTTTTTGATTCTCGTAATAACTTCTTTTTGATCCCCCTGAATAGTTTCTTTTTGATCCTAATAATAGTTTTCTTTTGATCCTGATACCGTTTTTCTCCCTCCCGCCCAGTCCTACATGGAACAGGCTTGTGCTATGTTCCTTTTATGTTTGTATTCCTTTGATGTTTGTGACCCGCCTTGGTTACAGTGCAGGAGGTGCATGGTCTGCACCGTTGGGCGGTGTACCCGCTCGGGCCACTCTGCTATAGGTTTCTCATTATGTCGCTCTATCACCTGCAGGTGCTTGAGTGCAGCCCAGAGTATCTGGATGCCAACCAACGTAAATGGGAAGAGTGCTTCTCATGACAGAACTTCCTGTCAGCTCCCGCCCCTCGTGTATGCAGAAGAAAACGGGAGCTGCTACGTTTCAGTATGCTGAATGTATGTGTGTATATATATGGTTGTCGATCTCAAGGTCCTAGACAGGATTGTTGATGACGATGGCCCGGAACGTACAAGCAGTTCCCGGGCAAGCCGGCGGCGGAAGTTTCCTATAAGAACAAATTGACCTATAGGAGTGTCCCGGTTCTTTCCACCACGCGTGTCCCTCGTGTCCCTCAGTCAGACGCATGAGTGATGAGCGATGAGTGAAGCATAGCTCTAGCTCTCGCTCCACTAAATCTAACTGGAGCTAAACGTTAACTATGATGTGATAGCTTGTCTAGACACGAACTGGCGACTTGGTAGTACAACTTTAGTACGCGGATGAGTCATCTCTTGCGGCTGCTCTGGCGCCCCTGCAGCTGAGTCATGTCTCCCGACCACCCGGCTCTCTTGAGAGGTTGACAAATTTTAGCTACTTTGCTTACTCAAAAGGGTTCATTTCGATTACTTTCTGGAGACCTCAAAACACGTGCTTTGAGAGGTTGACAAATTTGAGCTAATTAGCCTCTCAGCTTGAAGCTCCACAGATTGCTCCGCGTACTAAAGTCGTACTACCAAGTCGCCAGTTCTCATGTTCCAGCTCCCCAGATACTCCGCGTACTAAAGTTGTACTACAAAGTCGCCACTTCTCATCTTCCAGCTCGCCAGATTCTCCGCGTACTAAAGTGTACTACCAAGTCGCCAGTTCTCAGCTTCCAGCGTACTAAAGTTGAACTACAAAGTCGCCAGTTCTCATCTTCCAGATCCCCAGTGACTCCGCGTACTAAAGGTGTACTACAAAGTCACCAGTTCTCAGCTTCCAGCTCCCCAGATTGCTCCGCGCACTAAAGTTGCACTGCAAAGTCGCCAGTTCTCAGCTTCCAGCTCCACAGATTGCTCCGCGTACTAAAGATGTACTACAAAGTCGCCAGATCTCATCTTCCAGCTCCCCAGATACTCCGCGTACTAAAGTTGTACTGCAAAGTCGCCAGTTCTCAGCTTCCAGCTCCCCAGATTGCTCCGCGTACTAAAGTTGCACTACAAAGTCGCCAGTTCTCAGCTTCCAGCTCCACAGGTTGCTCTGCGCACTAAACTTGCACTAGAAAGTCGCCAGTTCTCATCTTCCAGCTCCCCAGTGACTCCGCGTACTAAAGTTGTACTACAAAGTCGCCAGTTCTCAGCTTCCAGCTCCACAGATTGCTCCGCGTACAAAAGTTGTGCTACAAAGTCGCCAGTTCTCATCTTCCAGCTCCGCAGATACTCCGCGTACTAAAGTTGTTCTACAAAGTCGCCAGTTCTCAGCTTCCAGCTCCACAGATACTGTGCCTGCCACGAGATCTGCAAATGGAGGTTCACAAAGTGCTGTGCCCGCCAAGAAATCTGCACATGGAGGTTCACAAAGTGCTGTGCCTGCCATGAAATCTGCGCATGGAGGTTCACAAAGCGCTGTGCCTGCCACGAACTCTGCACATGGAGGAGGTTCGCAAAGTGATGTGCCTGCCACGAAATCTGCACATGGAGGTTCACAAAGTGCTGTGCCTGCCACGAAATCTGCTCATGGAGGTTCATTAAGTGCTGTGCCTGCCACGAAATCTGCACCTCGAGGTTCACAAAGTGCTGCGCCTGCCACGAATTCTGCACATGGAGGCTCACAAAGTGCTGCGTGGGCCACGAAATCTGCGCATGGAGGTTCACAAAGTGCTGCACCTGCCGCGAATTCTGCGCATGGAGGTTCACAAAGTGCTGCGCCTGCCACGAGATCTGCACGTCGAGGTTCACAAAGTGCTGTGCCTGCCACGAAATCTGCACATGGAGATTCACAAAGTGCTGTGCCTGCCACGAAATCTGCACTTCAAGAAACAAGTGCAAACTCTAACCACAATGGAGGGACGATTCCGAGCATGATCCGAGCATGACCCGAGACCGTCTCGCACACGTCGTTCCGCAAAGCTTGACTTGCCAGCTTCGGAGCCACCCTTTCTATTGAAAAACATAGCATTTTGTGCGTCCGCTGTATCTCTGGAAAACGCATTTTGTATTGCGCCTGCCACGAAATCTGCGCATGGAGGTTCACAAAGTGCTGGGCCTGCCACGAAATCTGCACCTCGAGGTTCACAAAGTGCTGCACCTGCCACGAATTCTACACATGGAGGTTCAAAGTGCTGCGCCTGCCACGTAAACTGGAGCTAGAGCTGTTGAAACTGGAGCTAACTGGAGCTAGAGCTATTGAAACTAGAGCTAACTGGAGCTAGAGCTATTGAAGCTAGAGCTAACTGGAGCCAGAGCTATTAAAACTAGAGCTCACTGGAGCTAGAGCAATTGAAACTAGAGCTAACTGGAGCTGGAGCTATTGAAACTAGAGCTACCTGGAGCTAGAGCTCTTGAAACCAGAGCTAACTGGATGATGAGTGGTGCATGATGAGTGGTGCATGATAAGTGGTGTATGATGAGTGGTGTATGAAAAGTGGTGTAAGATAAGTGGTGTACGATGAGTGGTGTATGATCAGTGGCGTATGATGAGTGGTGTATGATGAGTGGTGTATGATGAGTGGTGTATGATGAGTGGTGTATGATGAGTGGTGTTTGATGAGTGGTGCATGATAAGTGGTGTATGATAAGTGGTGTATGAAAAGTGGTGTAAGATAAGTGGCATATGATGAGTGGTGTATGAAAAGTGGTGTATGATGAGTGGTGTATGATGAGTGGTGTATGATGAGTGGTGTATGATAAGTGGTGTATGAAAAGTGGTGTAAGATAAGTGGCATATGATGAGTGGTGTATGAAAAGTGGCGTATGATGAGTGGTGTATGATGAGTGGTGTTTGATGAGTGGTGTATGATGAGTGGTGTATGATGAATGGTGTATGATGAGTGGCATATGATGAGTGGTGTATGATGAGGGGTGTATGATGAGTGGTGTATGATGAGCGGAGTATGATGAGTGGTGTATGATGAGTGGTGTATTGAACAGCTGTTGAATGTCCGTAACACGGAAGTTTGCACACAAAACTTTCTTTGATCAAAGTCTCATTTGGCGAGAGTTTTCCCGAGTTGGCGAAAGTATTTTTTGCGAAAGATATGGCTAAAGATGCTCTTTCTGCTGCTGTTGCTACCTACTACTACTAC